TGCGATATATGGTGATTTCACAGCGATAAGAAAAATTGTGCCGCCATTAAAAGTGGAACAATCATGCCTTTGTGTTGCCGGGTCAACGACCAGTCACTGAGGCTCTGCTTCCCAGTGTCAATCAGTGTGTCGTATGACCGTTCGGTCTTATTTCGCTACGTTTGCACCAACAAAAGGATAACGTTCCCTTGGAATGGAGCGCTAGAGAAATCCAGCTTCTGCGCTGTGGTTAGAGAGAATAATGATAACAGCACAGGCTTGCATATCAGGACGAAATACGCCAGAGTGTATTATCTACAACGTTCTGGTAGTCGTCCGAAGCGAAAGCTGACCATTAACCTCGATGCGGTTTGATAGCGAATAAAGGCTAGTAAAGGAATGACAGATCTCAGATAGAGCAAATCTGTCTGAAAATATGATACAGTAAATAAAGATTAAAACAGGTTTATTAATACCTCAACAAACGGTCAATCGAAATGTTAAACCAGATAGCCAATACTTAGCCACAAAGTGCTCGATTTAATATCCGGGACAACCACTTATATTGGAAACAAAGAGGAAAGTTCGTAACCGTTAGGATATCCGTCTTCTTACGCTACACTGAGATGCACCACTGGTAGCGTCTCGCTTTCAAGGAGCTTGCTGCACGGTGCTGGTTTCAAATTCAATGTCAACAGTAAGGCATGCTTCATTTATGAAAGCAATATCCATAGACAAATAATAAACGCAGGTTGTAACTATCTACCTCCCTCACACGCAAAGGTTCGCATTATATCTACCTGCGAAGGAAGGAAGGTGAGCGTTTGGGTAAAATTCGATCGTATAATCTTTGGAGTGTGATTCTAGCGCTCCATCCACTGACTGACATTAATTTCTTTACATTAATGATTTATTTTTGCATTGTCTACAGAAACCTTATGCACGATCGACTACTTCATTTACAAGAAGGATACCTTGACAAGAAACCTTCACGAAAGAAGTGGGAACCAAGATTTTCAAAGAAAACATACCGAAGTCGTTCCAAGATTGCCTTAAGTCTTCTGAATTGAGGACAACGACCGTTAGCACTAACCGGAGGAAGAACAATTCAATAAACGACTTCCGGAAATAGGCAGAAATGAACACTATTCAAGCCACGAGAACTGCAGAGAACATGAGCTAGAAATATGACATGAAACTGTGCATAGCCTTAGGAACAGAGTATAATACTTACCGTACCATGCAATCGTCTACTCTCTGCCTTTGAACAAGACGACGGACTGTAGACCTGACGCAGGGTTTTTCTTTTATCCTGGCACAGACGCCATTTTGGAAAAAAATTGGATTCACTCCAAAGTCGTTGTCTTGTTCAAAAGGTGGAAAGTTTAAATAAGGTTTGCGTGTATGAAGAATTATGAAGATGTTAAAGATGTTTCGTTACTATGGTCAATCTGTCACTGAAATCTTCACTTCAGTTGGAGCATGTTGGAGAATATCAGCTATTTCACTCTATGAACTTAAAAAGCATTTTTGTAACCTCACTAACCGCTAGAAGTTTTCTAATCACAAGGGTGGAGCATCGAAATAGCTAGAAAGATCCTAGCTAGAGTTCGGAATGTCAAAATGTCGCTCTTAAACTCCATTCTTTCTGTTGTGCAGGTGCACGTCCTTATGGAATAAACCAAGGCTGAGAAAACCTATGGATGTTTTGTGTGCGGTTCTGTCACTGGTACTTTTTAATTTGTATACCAATCCATATTCCACAACAGAGACAGTAACAAGCACTTAATTTGCCGACAATTTGGCTGTCATTACATTTACTAACATGAGACGATACAAACGATTATCATGCAGCAGCAAAGACCATGGAGCAGTCTGCTCCAAATCCTTCTCGACCGCGTTCGCAATCTTTTCATATGGAATGCAGAATGATGTTGCAGAGCACTGGATGAGATGCATTCTATCATGTAACTTCGCTTAGATGGCCATCAACAATGCTTTCAAGGCGAGAGTTACCTCATGTGTTTCAAACCCTGTCAGGAAAAAATTTGCAGGAGCCACCATAATACTACCACCTAACACCTATGGTAAGCCAGTTGAAACAAGCAGTAAAGAAAAATTCCCTTTCGTATAATGTGTCCTCTGCATATGGCAG